TCATTTGCTTCAAGTCATTTCTTATTTCTTACTTTTGATTGTTGGGTTGAAATATGACCTGGACATGTTCTTCAGAAGTCTTGAATTATAAAATAAAAATATTTCTAAATATAAAAATGAAAAATTATTTTTCATTATTTGACGACAAATTTGATCTAAATCCTCATTATTCTTAACTCCCATTCTTATTTTTTTTATTTAAATCATCATATACTGTAAGGCAATACAACAGTACAATAATTTACAATTAAAATAATATTTATTATGTATCTATTAAGTAAATTTGTATTACAGTAATGAGAATTTGGGGGTCAAATATGCATAACTGACATAAAAATAATGTTTCGGTATCTTCATTTATTTGAATATGATGAAGTAAAATATAATTTTTTTCCCCCTCTTTTCGTAAATGTATGGCACATTCAGTATTGCAACATGAACATATCATCAAACACGCTAACCTTGGAATAAATTACACCACTGACAGAGCACTGTAAAACACATTTTGACAAGCTAACCTAAAAATGCTTCAGGTAACATCTAAATTAAGTGGTTTTATTCACGTAGTCATCACAAATATTACTTGCTATGAATGAAACAACCTGACTAAAGAAAGTAATTTTAAGGTTTAGATTATAGGTAGAAAAACGCACTTGAAAAGTTTTTGAAATTTCACATATAAAATGTCCCACTACCTGACAGATATTACTCTAATAAGTGATCTGAGAAATCACACATCTCTGTAAAAGTAGAAAACAGCAAAAGTAGTCAGTTTTCCTATAAAGTGCTCAAACAGAATGACAGTAGTGGCATTTTTTAGCTCATCAGAAACACTCTCTGCATGTCAGTGTTTGCTGACTTGTCTTTGGGGGGCAAGGCTTTGCAAAGGGGGCGTGTCACTTAGGAAAATAGACACAGTTTAGCGAAAAACTGCATTTTTACATAAAACGTCATATTACCTGATGGATATTTCTGAAATAAGTGTGCTGAGACACCACACAAATCTCTGTGAAAGTAGAGACAACTGTTTTTCTTAGATCTCAAATATAATGACGTTAATGGCATTTTTTATCCCATCAGAAACACTCTCTGGCCATCAATGGTTTTGCATGTCGGAGCTTGCTGACCTGTCTTTGGAGGGTGCGGTTTTGCAGAGAGGGTGTGTCACTTTTTAAAGGGGTCATATGACGTTGCTAAAAAGAGCATTATTTTGTGTATTTAGTGTAATGCAATGGGTTTATGTGGTTTAAGGTTCAAAAAACACATTATTTTCCACATATTGTACATTATTGTTGCTCCTCTATGCCCCGCCTTTCTGAAACGCGTCAATTTTTACAAAGATGAGAATTTTCCCAGCCTCACTAGCTGCTGCCTGTCTGTCAGGAAGCTGGTGATCCACTGACAGACAGAGGCGGGCACGGAGAGCTGAGTTAATTTGGGCAGAAGGAGGTTTGGGATGATAGTGTTAAACGCCGAGCTGAAGTCCACAAACAGGATCCTCACATAAGTCCCTGGTCTGTCTAGATGTTGCAGGATGTAATGCAGTCCCATGTTGACTGTATCATCCACAGACCTGTTTGCTCTGTAGGCAAACTGCAGGGGGTACAAACAACAAGCGCTACTCTACACTGCTCAAAATTCGCGTTTGAATCATCAGTGGCAAATTCTTTAATATAAAAAACGTACTTACAGTCTTTGAGTCAGAACAGCCGGCATTGTAGGCTCAGGAAACAGTCCTCCGTTAAATGCGTTGCACACACACAAATATTTGGTTTGAACTGTTCTGGAACAGTGTTGTAAATACAACTTAACCACTGATTTCTAGTTGTGTCCTCTTTTGGAAGGCCAAACAAAGTAGCTTCGCTTTCATAACGAAACACACAGCGTCTCCACGATATGGCGGCGGCAACAATACTACAGCGAGAATCAAAGTTACGTCTTCTTTCTTTGCGTGAACATTTGGCGGTGTTATGCAAATCTTCCCACACAGTGACGTAGACATGTGGGGGCGTGTTTAAACGAGGCGTTTTAGGAGGGCGTGGACGAGTCTTAACTTTTATAAAGAATATCTCTTTGGGTTTGAGACTTTAGTCTTTGCAACTTTAGGGATCTTATCTATGCACAAACAGCTTGTAACACTCCAAAGAGGAAGGAAAACTTTAAATTGCATCATATGACCCCTTTAAAAATCTGTGAAAAACTGCATTTTCACTTTTTACAGTGAGGGATACATCCAGAGCCAGAGAATTAACGCCATTCTCAAATCCACTGGGAAGCCCTGCCTGGGACAGAGAGAAATTAAACATCAGTTTGATGCACAGACAAATCTAGAGGCAGAAAATATGCTGAAATTAAAAAATCAGTTCCATGATGTACTGTAGAAGAAACTGCCAGGCTGTCTAAATCCTCCTCCCTCTCCCTTTCTCCGTCTTGCTCCCATGTTTGGGAAACAGCCAGCAGCCTTGGCAAGGATCGTGAAGAGAACATCATAGTTTAGTTCATCACAGTAAATGTGTGTGAGAGGCTGGCAGTGCCGGACTGGCGGCTGACATGCCCACTGCGCGCCCCAGGTGTGTCCTCTCCTGCCCAGGGCTAGCGCATGGCACATGAAAGCAGGATGAGGGCTCTCTGGACCGGAGTGGAAGACAGAGAAATACTCTGGCCAAATGAATGTGTGAGCCAGGGGAATGCTGTCAGCAAGCATGTGTCAGTGTGTGGGAGTATGTCAGCTTTCCCAGACTCCTCTTGTGCTGGCCACAAAGGAGTACGCTTCTCTTACTTCAGATTGAAAATATCCTCAATGAGACGTTAATTAACGGGATGCTCTGCTTACAGTTTGCAGCACCACAAATCCCTGGGCTTATTCTTGTTTATACATATTTAACATTTAAAGGGAAAGTTCACGCAGAAATTAAAATTCTGACATCACTCACCCTGCATGATTTTCTTTCTTCTGTGGGACAGAAAATTAAAGCTTTTGAGTAATAAAAACGTGAATGGTGGATTACTGTCAGTTCCATAAAGGACAAAACGGCAGCATATAATTATCATATAAGTTATGTGCTGCCCTCTATCCATAAAATGTGCTTATTTATTTTTCTGAAGCCATGTGAAAAGTACAGGCCGATTTAAATAGCTCTTTACTTCAATTCTTGCTTTCTGTCTTAGTTCTCAAAAGCAACACTTTCACTTATTCAGACCTTATGTGTTTGGAGTCACTAACATCAAACTTGACAAAACATTTCATATTTACTATATAATGTATGTGTGAGATTGAGAGGTAAAACAAAGAGCAAGCTTTTCGGTGAACAATGAATATTGATAATGAATATGTGTTCTTCATATGACTTCAGAAGACTCGGGATATTATAGAAAATTACAACAGATTATATAAATAGAGGAGCAGAAGATATCTGATTTTGTAATTAAGATTTTAATTTAAACAATTTCCTATTCATAAATATATAAGAACTTTATTTTTCTAATTTATACTTTTGTAATTGAGAACTTTCTCTTTGTAACTTGCGAAGAAAAGACATCTGTTGGTGACATTAGGCATGAAGAATTACTAAATTTTCATCATTTTCATTAGGAAGGCACTAGAGCAGAATAGGTTAAAAATACAATATTCCTTTGAAATATCCCTTTAAAAAATCCAAATGATTATTACAATTTTATTTAGTATTACAATTTGCTCCTGAATTTTCCATTCTTCAAGAAATCCTTAAAAATGTATCACAGTTTCCAC